TGAATATTGTAAAACAGTGCTGTAAAAGACACCGTTTGAGTTGAACTGATGGAAAGATCACATATGCAAGTACAGTAAGTAGTGATAAGTACAGTGCTCTGACCTTTTTCACACCATGAATCATGGTATTATGGGTAAGTGAGTGGCTACGACTGTAGGAACTTTGCTTCCTGCAAGGCATTAAAGGAAATCTTTACAAGAAATTCCTAAAGGTCTCCACTTTCACACGGAATACTGCTTAGCAGTGCTGGAGCAGGGCACTGAAAGGAATGCTGAAATCAAAAATGGTGTAATCAGTTAGCTTGATCTCAACTGAATGGTGTTAACCGACCCCTACCAAGGTTATATGAAGTCATTTTGGAGCGAAATATTTCTTTAAACTCAAGAGTACTCCAGGGGCTTGAAACAACAGGTTGTGTTAGCCATAGGTAATCAGAATTCTCAATGAGTTTTTACAGGTAAAAATGAATGGCATGCAGACAATCACAGTAGACTGTTCCTCTGTAAATGCATTATGCATCCTGTTTAGGAGAATATATGAAATTTGTACTAAGGAACAACTTTCAGTTGTTCAAAGCTCTACAATAAGATACAAACTATTATTTTAGAAGGCAAGGATAACCCTGTCAAGGCAAAAGCTGAAAATTTTAAGGAAGGGGTTAGATATGTTATTCCATTCAACATCATTGACAGACCTCTAGATGTGAGGAAAAGTCAATAACCTGACTGAACATGTTCTGAATCTATAACTGCTTTGTTTAGACAGTAACTATTTGTAGGAACAAATCCCATCACATATTGACAAGTGAAGGGTTAAGAAAGTTCCTCTGATCCTTCTGAAGGAATGGTATCGTACAGTGGCTCCCAAAAATATTTAGATAATTGTTCCATACTTATGTGTTAACTTCACCCATTTATTTTAAACCAACCACGCCAAGATCTATCCAAACACGGCTGGTGTGTTTTAGACTGTTATCTTTTGAGCAGCGTCATATGCTACAAAAAAATTCATATGAGCCTTGTAAAACACCTTCAATCTACTTGCTTTACGTAGAAATTCTTATATGTGAGGCAATGGATTTATTTAAGAAAAAAAAACAACTTGGAAAATAACCTTCATCTGATGGGTTCCTTATCATTTTACTGCACTGCTTGCTGGGCTAAGTGAGCTGAGAGGACGTGGGGACAAACCTGAGAGACCATATGGGTTTAAAACCAGAAGATCCAGCATACTCCAGCAATGACATCACGCACTTATGGCGTCCAACACTTCAGCGCCAACCCAGCTTAAATAACACCTCGAAGTATGAAGCCTTAGAATATGGGAATGAAGAGTGATATCTGGAAACAGCTAAGACTCAGTGAATGTGAGGAGTGCTGGATGTCAGAGCTGCCTGGAGATCTATATTAGCTTCTTGTATATCTTTGGATAGAAAGAATATGTAAGTAATTTACAATAAAGTATCAAAAACTGGACGGTATTCAGATATTGATCTTAGCAAGATTATATATTATATATTATTAAAAATAAATAAATAAGAAAATAAAAGAAAAGAGCTTTTCAAAAATAAATACAGAATGACAAGTGAAGCGAAAACGTGATAGCTTTGCACTCCCCTCTGGACCATGTCAGAAGTTTAAAATAGAACTTCAACTCGATGACCCATTTTGCAGAGGAACACCACTTTTGGCAACACGGTCACACTTGCTGTACTTTGCCTGACTTTTGCTTGACTTGGTTTTTCAGGGAGTTGAAAGCCTGGAGCTGAATGCGAGGCATGTGAAGCTCTCTGCAGTCCTGCTGGCCACAGGCAGTGCGGGGAGAGTTCCCTTACTGCAGCCATGTGACCCTCTCCAAATACTCTCCAGATGAAAGCCTGTGTGTCCTCAACAGCTTTTCTGTAGTCATCTCAATGTGGTCTCCTCACCCTGGCACATTCTCTCACCCTTCTGCCCCATATGCCTGCCAGGGTTCAATACTTGGTCGTCTTCCATTACAAAAAAACTAGCTCAAACTTCTATTATTAGCCTGAGAGTAATGTGGGCTTTTTTTTTTTTACTGCTTTTCATCGTTTGGCTAAATATAGTTGATGAATGAGCACTGGCAGGCATTTTGCCTGCAATTAAAGGATGGCGTGACTAGCGATCAGGTCGCCAACATAAAAGCACCATTGTCTCAGAGAATCTATCAAGCCAGCTCGCCATTGGTCGACGCTTTGGCTGGGTGGCCGCAAAATTTCATTTAACTATCTCTTTCAAAAGAGGCGGAGAAGAGAAAAAACAGCAAGACACCAGCATGTGCACATTTGGGTGTATTTTAATGCAGTTCAGGGGAAAAAAAAGAAGATTTAATGAGAAGAAAGGCAGAACTGTTTCTTATTACAGGCTGGAGCTGAGTCAGACTGGGCTCTATGTGTGTTTGTTCGTATCTGTGTGTATATGGTTGAAAAATAAACCACTGTGTTTAAGATCATGTACAGGGCTGCACAATATGGACAAAATACAAGTACAGCAATTAGGGCTGGGCAATATGAAAATATATATCATTACCGTGGTAAATTACAATATGATGACATGTCATAATATGCTCTTAAGGGCATGTCACGGCCATCACCTGCACTCCAAGAATACTGAACACAGCTGGATTGTTTGATTACAAAGAGAGCATAATTAGTCCTGTTTAGGAGGATTTAGTGCAGCACAGTGTATGACATTTTTAATAGAATAACTGTATTCAGTTTTTGATGCTATTTTTTAACGTTAATGTGGCATTACTTTGTCTCTACCAACTTATCAGACATCCGAAAAAATCTTGATGTACTTTGTATTGTGATCTTGTATTTTTGCCATATTGCCCACCTCTAACTACATCATGTGATATGCCTTGCAATATTTAAAAAACATGTTCATGAATATAATCAATATCAATAATGTGACGTGATTAAATATTGGCTGCAGCATTTTTGAGCTAGGCCTGTGTCAGTAACAGAATCCTCTTATTCAGATAGCTGTGTGGTATAAAACCGCTATGCTGTGTTCATTTTCTACCCCTTGTGCTTTATTTTTTACTTGACAAAGATGGAGTTTCAACTCATACGCTACATAACCATGTGGAACAGAACTGCAGCAAACAAGGTTCTTTTATTCCTTTTACTTTGCCATTTTTTGTTAACAATGAAGTTCCACTTCACTATTACGGTGTTTGCTCCCAAGTCAAAGTCCGCCTCAAATTGACCATAAGAAAGTATTTCTATTATTATTATTACTATTATCAGCACATCTGCTGAGGTTTTCAGGAATATCACTGATTAAATTAATATTTCTTTTTTTAATTTTTAGACAGCTCATAACTCTGTACACAGGAGCAAGCACAGTGATACTGTGTGAGTTAAATAAATGAACATAGCATGTGCAGTTCAGTAAAAGATGTGGTTGTAGTCAGTCAATCTTTAAAATGGCCACAGAAGTATAATTGATCTAGTAATAAAGAAGGGAGCTGTGAATACCACACAAAGTTTACAGTCCAATGCTGTGGTCTCTGTCGGCGCTTAGCTTAGCCTGAGTGTATGAGAGCTGGGACAGGACAGTGTTTTTCATGTGAGACAAAGACATTTTGTTCGATGTATGAGCTCTGAGGATGTGCTAAAATGCACACCGTAGCGTGTACAGCTTTTTGTACAGGCATGATATCTGCCTGAAGCACTGAGCATGTTCAACTAGTGGCAGTGTCTTGATGACAACCTCATCTGTTAGGTAGACAGATGTGGTATTGCTGTAGGATATCATATCACCCAGCATGTTTAAAAGCTAACTGTCTTGATATGGTTTGCAATGTAAATGCAACAGGTTTTTAGACTGGTGGTAAATAAGTTTTTGACATCATTCTACAATGGCGTTTTAGGGCCAATATAAATAATACAAATAGTAAACTTTGAGAATAAAGTCGTACTATTTCGAGAATGAAGTCGTAATATTTAGAGAAAAAAAGTCTGAATATTTCAAGGATAAAGTGGGCTAACTGTTGGGGGGCTGCTATAACGCGTTGGGGTCTCGGTTGCTGTAGTGGCGGTGGAGTTCCACACACTCCTGTGTCTTTGTGGATCGATCATTTTGATTATCATTCTCATTGTCTGTGAAACTACATGCCCTCTTTGAATAGCACGGAGATGTAGCCACCGATAGCCGTGTAGACGACCCTACCTGCAATTCTCCTTCAACAAAACAGACAGACAGTTTCCTCTGAGTCCGTCTGGTTCTTTATTTTAAATAAACACAGTTTCCTGCACAGCCGTTTCAGCTGTTTCTTATACTAATAACAATCTGGTGCTGATGTGCCAGGAGAGACAGGGAGACTGAGTATTTCTTTATGGGTGAAATCGATATGAAAGTGTAACTCCTCCTCCTCCCCGCCCCATTTTAACACGAGGAGGTGCTGCCTTCTCTGTACAAAGGCTTTGGCCACACTATCTCGACCTTTCCTGGTTATAATACCACTTTAATGTCGTAATTCTACGACTTTTGTTCTCGAACTAATACGACTTTTATCTCGAAATAGTACGACTTTTTTTTTAGAAATATTACTACTTTATTCTCGAAATAGTATGACTCTATTCTCAAAGTCTACTATTTTTATTTTTATTAACAGTGGCCCTAAAACACCGTCGTATCATTCAGAGCTGTTAACAAGGTAACTCCGTTAATGGTCACTGGGCACAGGCATACTTTGAACAAAATATTTGGTCAAGATGCTAACAACACAGTAATTAGTTAATAAACTTCAGCATACTAATTCTGAGATTTCGGCATTGCAAAAGCTGACATCGCAATAACAATTAACAATATATTGTGCAGCCCTGATAGAGTAGATGGTTTTGCACTGTAACCGTATGCACTGCGTGTCTCTGCGTGAATGTATGTGTGTGGTGCTGAAAGGTCTTTAGTTTGTTCTCCCAGGCCTGCCAGTGGGAATCCGTTCATGTGGAGAGGAAAAATATGTTTTGTTTTTTTGCAGAGTGCGAGCTGTTCTGTCTCTTCCTCAAACAGAGCCTTTTACCCACAACAATGTGGGAGCCGAAGAGAAGGACACCAAGTGGCTTAAAAGTTTAAAACACACACTGTCACCACCCATGCCTACCCCAGCCGCACCACTAGAATCCACATTGTGTCCGCCTCTGACTGACTGGCTCATATTGCCGCCCAGCCAGTGTGTGGCACCTGATCTTCTGGACGCCAAAGTCAGTGATACTGGTTCAGACCCAGACCCAGTGATGATGTGTGGGAGTGTGTGCTGGAGCTCAGGACAGCAGGGTCTGTACCTGCTGAGGGGATCTGTGTAACACACTCTCAGGCTCTTTGTAGTTGTTGGCTGGGTTGGTTACAGCTGTATACATCTCTCCATATGCACGGCACACCAGCTCTGTGGACTGCTTGAAAATCTGCTCTCTGTAGAAGAGAGAGAGGGGGAAAAAAAACATGAGTTCTAATTTGGTCCAGTTTACTTATTTTTACTAAGAAGGAATTATAGTTTTTGTTTTTATAGCACTTTTTCGAGGACAAGGGACAACCTACGGATGGATATTTTATTATAACACAATATAAGGGGCTGGCAACTCGACTGCAAGCATATCACTGATCCTAAAGATTTGTGACTTCATTAACCAAAGTCAGATAAACGACTACATTACTGTTTTTTTTTAAATCTGTGTGAGATCCCGAATTATTGAGGTAAACTGACTGGTAGTGACCACAGTTACCGCAGTGGTAAATGTTAGTGACTAACACAAACAGTATAGTGCTCATGTAAACAAATGTTAATATTTGCTAAAAAAAACAAAAAAAAACAAAAAAAAACAACACCACAAGGCATTGATAGGCAACATTTGTCAGCTAAGAGTCTAACATTCGTCAGACTAGCAAACAAACTACGCACTTGTACACATTGCCCAGCAGCTCAGACAGCTATGCGATGCGCAGTAGAGCTAGAAAAGGAAAAAAAAAAAGGTTCTTCAAAGGCCAGTTTCACTCACGTGAAAATGTGGAACTGATCTTTCACAGAGTTTTCACGAAGTCTGTTTACATTTATTTTACCACAGATAAGGGGTCTTTTTAAATTCTGGTAGCTGGTTAGACACAACTAAAGCTTTGATTCTTGAGGGATCACTTGACATCAGCGTCTTCGTAATGCAGTGCTGTCTCTCTCAAATCCAACCAAGAACATATAGAAAGTCATCTGAAATGACCGGCACTGTTGTTTATTTGGCAGTGAATAGTATATTCAAGCAGGACCCTATAGTTAAAACCATGAATAGATTTAAAGAGTTGACCCCCTGTATTTATTTAAAAAATGGATTATTATAATCTCCTATTCTGATGGTAAAAGGAAAGTTCTACTCGCTACAGCTTTAAGACACTTGTTTGCATCAGAAGGCTGTGGAAATATCAAAGAACTCGGAGATAACTCCTCTTTTCACAGTCTTTCACAACCATTCTGTCTTTTAACTGATTTGACTCACCTTTATAGATGTAAAATGTCATCTATTATGTACTTCAAAGCAGCGTTAGCAAAACAGTCAATGCAAAGATGTGCCTTACAATTTTGAAATGTTTTGAAAGAGAAGGTCAGTCACACTGCATTTCACCCCAAAAAAAAGTATGCTCAATTCAATTCAGTTACAAAATACTGCATTCAGACTAAATAAAACAAGTATATTTTTACAGTCTAAACTTCAAAGCAAACTGAGATCTGGGTAAAGCAGGAGTGCCCAAAGTGAGGCCCACAGGCCAAAGCTATCCTGTGAGGACGTATGACTTGGCCTGCCAGAAAGTAACCCTACCCCCAACCTCTTATTCCTTATTTTCCTTTTTCATTGTGTTTAGTAGCACAATACAGTGTTATAACACGATATAATGTAATAAAGTACATTTTTAAGAACTCGATTTAAACCCTTCATAACTTCATGTGTATATTATTTTGTCTTTTTGCCCCTCAGCCCACCACAAACTTTGCACCTTGACGGCCCAAGACAAAAGTTTAGGTACCCGTGGGAAACAGAATATCACAAAATAAAACACTTTATCAGTAAGCATCGTTATATACCAACACATACAGTTCCATGCAAAAGTTTGAACACTCCAGTCAAATGACAACCAATTGTTTTGTTGATCTTCAAAGTGAAAATATGTTAACACATCCTCTACAGAGAACTTAAATATGGCATTTTCTGTTAATTTTAGTGCACAATTTCTATTTATTTGATGAGTTTAGCATTTTGAAATTTAACATTTTAAATGTGCCATAACTTCACAGACCACAGTTTATGTTCTTGTTTTCCAAAATATTAAATTCAGCAAATTAATAGTAATTGCATATTAAAATGTGTGGTCTCTGTAGAGGATGTGTTACCGTACATACACTTATAAAAATCAATAAAACATAATTTGCCTGAACTTTTGCACACGACTGTACCAGCTGTTCTAACTGGTAACTACATGAAGTCCTGCTTCACGTTGCTAGTTGACGAAGCACATACAGTAGGTCTCTCAGACACCACTGCTCCACAGTCAGGACAAGAGGCTAACAGTGCCACCTACAGCTGCACAAAATCTCAGCTGCTGTAGTTAAACATACGATGACAGTGTGGGCTCTAGCAGTAAAAGGATAACTGAAAAGCATGCAAACATTTATCTCCACGTGTAAATATGCCTGATTTCAACAACCAGCTTGGTTTTAACAAGAAGTGTGTATAGCAAAGTGCATAATATATGAATGCGTGTGAACAAGGTTTCCAATAAACCATTCCACCTATTTGCCCCACTCTGAAAGCCACGTAGAGTCAAGCCATGTTTAGCGGTTATGTGTAGGCGAGAGAGAAGTGGAGCTTGGAAGGGGTGGGCGAGAGAGGGGAAAAAGAGAACGCGAGAGAGAAATGGACCGGTAGATAATTAGCTGTGGCCGGCCCATCCGTGATTCCATCTCCATTAATAGAGAACATTAACCTAAGGGACACTGAGTGCTCCTCGAGCCCTGTTACATTTCCCAGTAACAATGTGACTCAGTCAGTCTCTATCTTTCTCTCTCAAACAGCAACACCACACTCATGCTAAAAGCATACTCCTGCAGTGAAAAAAGGAGGGAGGAGGAAAAAAAAAGAAACACAACAAATGCACATGTAGTCTCATGCTTGCCGTTCTACTTGCTGTCCACAGTGGGAACAACTGTACGGACAATAACGAACAGTACGTTTCTGAATGGTTTATTATTTTTATTTACTGGACCAAAAAAACACAAACAAACAAACAAATAAATAAATAAATAAATAAATAAATAAATAAATAGATTAAAATATACGTTCGCAATAAATTAGCAATGACTACATGCAATCTGCATTTTGATAATATATAATTTAAATTCTTCTAGTGGCCTCTCTTACACTAAAAAACAGAGCTAAACAGATACACTGTTAAACAGGCTCACTTAGTCAGCTAATCTATACAGTACTGAGCAAAAGGCACCTGGAAAATTTAGTTTTAAAAAGCTATTCATCTAGGCAATTTTAAGGCATTTTTGGCTCAGAAAAGTACTATTACTAGACTAACCCCTAAAAACCCCAGACGTCTTACATATTAGGGCTTATTATTCAGTAACTACATGGACTTCAATGCAAACGGGCTGAGCTACTCTTAGGGGATAGACGTGTGCAATAACTTTTTGGGCCTGTCAGTGGGTCCTGGCCATTTAAGGGGATAAATAACAATAATGTTAGTACAATAAGTAGTGATTTCATGTATGTTCGTATAACCATTTCCAAACCACTTCTTGTTGCAGACCAGTATTATTTGTTGTTATCATCACAAACCTTGGCTAATCAATACTTCATTATGTTGAATCAGGTGTACTGGAGGTGGTGTGTTCATCTCATCAGCTCAAAAGAGCTCTTTTTTTAATAAGAAATTTAAAAAGGTTTTACTGCATTAATGTTTGTTCATTTTTACACACTGCTATCCATACAGTATTATACATCTTTAGCTTCCTTTTTATCTTTCTTCCAATGAAATGCTTTCAAATCTTTGAAAAACTATGGAAAATGTGTTACTTTTCAGATAAGCCTATTTGTGTTGTTTGTAACCTGATAATTAACTGTAAAATAATCCTAGGATCTCTCAGCTCAGATGGTGAAAGATCATATATATGCTCCTTAACTCTGGAATCGTATCCCAGAGAATATTAGAAATTGTTTTTAAATGTGCTGTAATTCCATTTATATCCATTTACATTTTATCTTCTCAGTGTTTTACTTGTATTTCTGTGTAAAGCATTGTGTTATTCTCATTAACATCAGCAAAACTGATAGCCCTGGTATCGTCTCAAAGCGCTAAAAGGATGCAGTACAAAGGACGCATCATGGAAATAACATTGCTGAAGCAATGGTATCCCATACAAATGAAGCTGATGTGAGTTCAAAAAGTAGGAATCTTCATAAACGCTACAATTTCTATATAGTGTTTGCAGCCTTGGAGGGACAAGAAGTGGCTCACTTGATAGCTGCACTGAGGAGAAAGTTGAGCTGAGGCATCATGAAAGCATCAGGAGATGACAAGTAGCGGTCAAACTGGACCTGGGCATAAAGAAAGGATGACAGTTACAAGAAAGAGAAAGAGAAGAACAAAATGAATGAAGTGAAAAGTAACAATAGAGTGTTTGAATGTGTGTAAAAAGAGACTCACCATAGCTGCTTTTAGAGATGAACTGTCCATGCTTGGGAGATTGGATAGAGGACCCTGGGGGGTGGGAGGGCAATGGAAAGAGAGATAAATATCACGCATCAATGATCTATACATTTCCCTGTAGTAGTAATAATAATAATAATAATAATAATAATAATAATAACAACAACAACAACAACAACAGGTTTCACACACGCACACACACTTTTTTAAACGTTTTATAAAAAAAACTGTTTTAGACGTTTAAAAATATAATAAGACTAAATAATTATTATTTAGTTACTATTAAAAACAGAACTGAACTATAAATAAATAAATCCATGGTCTGCACATATTAGCACACAACAACTTCTCTGGATTTCTCAAGGCACAAGACTCCTACGTGCGTCCCGTACATCTCCGAGCAACAGACTCTGCTGGAGTTGAGTAAAAGTCTTTCATGCTGTCATTAGCAGCAATTGAGCCACGGATTTCTCAGCTTGGTTGATGCAGACGGCTGTGAGACCACACTGCTGCGTGATGCAATTGAATGATGGAGGCTCACTGCTGGGGTGGCTGGGGCACACACAGGCTCTGCTAGTGGGCTGATATGCTGAAGACTAACGTTACCCTAAAAGACTGGCGGTTCCTTCCTTAACTCTCTCTAATGTTCACTTTCTTAACAACAACCTGGGCTAACATTAACTTGGTCTGTTACTGACTACATAGAGGGAGATGTGTTATCACTAAGAGAAGCGGCTCAGCCATTCAGGTAAGGAGCTCCTGCTAGCATGTTTTACACTGTATGTGCGTTGCATTATCTAGTGTATTTGTGACATATCGGTGAAACAATAGTTTAGGAAGAATTCCAAACAGTACATCGCCCACTACTACTGCCTTCCCAAGAAACTCTGGCATTACAGATTTTGCCAGGAGCACTTTTACACCTGCTTGTCAACCCACACTGCTAATGTACTGTTAAGTACCGTCTAGCACCAGCACGTGTGTGCATCAGAAACTGCTTTGCGGTATCGGTCAGAGATACTGGTATCTCCATCGCCAATACTGATTTTAATACTGCGTTTAAGTGACATCGATATCAGTGCAATGCTTAACACACTTAAATTACATTTTCCTGTAAATTTTAGTGAACAATTTCTATTTATTTGCTGAGCTTAATATACTGGGGGGAAAAAAAACTATAAAAAAAAATATAAAATGCACCTTCTGAATATTTGTACTGGGCACTTTTTGTGTTTTTTTTTCTCCAATATGTTAAACTCAGAAAATAAACAGTAACTGTGCATTAAAATGGCAGAAGTGTGTTCTATGTGGAGGATGTGTTAACTTATTTTCACTTAGAAAATCAACAACAGGAGAGAAAGAGTGATGTGCTAAAAAAGATACATTTGACACACAATTGGATAAAAGATATGACCGGACTATAAGCAGGTGGGCAACTTTTCAAACAATATTAGAAGTAATGATGCTGTAGCCACATCTACATCTACATCAACATACTTTCCAGAAGCAGAAGAGACCATTTAAAGGAAAACTGACCCCAAAAAAGTCAGCATCACAGATAGAAGGGACCAGTAACACACGAGACTTTGCTATCTAGTCAAGATTAACCTGGACTGACTGTTAGCTAGGTAAGTATTTGAATCCAACAACACATTCAGTAATGAAGAAAAACCTGCCAAGCTTTTAAACAGCGTGAGAGAAAAGAAGTACATAAAAAAAGCTATAAAAGCCAATTTAAAGACATCAAAGTTTGAATGGCCTACAGTCTTGGAGAAGTAGCACTCAGACTTGCAACAAAAGAATTATTAAAACAGTTCACACAAAAACCTGAAAACCCAGAAAATAGACTTGTCGAGACCCAATCATTTTATTGTCAAAGTAATTGAGTGCAGGAAGAGCCCATAATTAATGCTGAATGTAGCGGGAGAAGGCAGAGGAGCAGGAGGCGAGACAGTTGTGTTCTGCACTTGTGGACAGCAGGTGTCTTGAGGCAGTTAGTCACCCTGCAGCCTTTCATGGGGGAGGACTGGCAAAAGAATGACCAGACTGCAAGACGATGCCAAGGCATTACTCTCTCTTTTTTCCCTCTCTCTCTCTCTCTCTCTCCCTCTCTGACTTTTTCCTGACTCCGTATTGTTGCTCCTCTGAAGTGTCCATTCATATAAATGACAATAGAGAGTGACATTGTAACAGAAGGAGTCATGAGCAGCTCAAGGAACATACCAGTTTTGCATCACTTGTCCTCCTCAATGGGTTTAAGCTGACATGAAGTTGCTTACTGAAACTTGCATTACAGGGCAGTGAACACAGAGTGAAACATGGAGATGAATTGAGGTACTTTAAGTACCAATTCAAAATGAACTACTGTGGTTCTTTCCATGGGGAAACAGTGTCGCCTTGGAACGAAACCTTATATCTCTATTTTTAACAGATTTTGAAAATACCAGCTGTCCTTTACAATGTGTAAAATTGCATGATGAATGGCACAATAAATAAGCTCCATAAAGATTTGAGGCAAAAAAAAAAAAAAAAAAACAACCCTTTCATTCAATGTTAAGAACGTTTTTGCCTTCTCTCCTGTCAAGTTTTGCAAATATCAGGTATACTCAATATACTGCTTGAAAGTTACTCCAAAAACCTCCCAGACCCCAAATATCATAAATTACAACGTATGGATTGCACACACTACACTTTTGTGCTAAATAAAGACTTTCTACAATGAAACAGTAAAACATCAAAATGAGTGGGGAACAGAGGACTTCAAAAGATGTATGTAATGAGACACATGATAAATTGGAGAATATGGATAATAATTTCTTTTTTCCCCCTGGGCCTTTTCAATCCCAGGTCATTTCCTGGTGTCTGAAAAACTTGTGCAAAAAGCTGTGCTCACAGATCTATTGATGAGAGCTTTACCATGGCGTAACCATGGCAACAGGGTCTAAAGAGAGGCTATGTAAACAAAGCAGACTATTCCTGTAAAACGTGAAGAAAAAAGGGAAAAAAAAGAGCAAAGTGAGCCATCAGAGATGAGGATGAGCAGCAGGCAGACAGCGCACTCATTACAGGCAATATAACAGCCATAAACGCTGCTTTAAATATACGCAGAGAGGAGCTTAAGTGAGCTTCCGTTATGACATACAGACACATACAGACTCCAAAAAGCTTTTCTAGTTTATACCTCTGTGGTATACATGAGCAGAAAGACAAAGAGCACTTTTACAAAAATTGTTTCCAGCTATTTTTTCAGACAAGCCAATATATTTAGATTGTTGGTTTAAAAATAATTTTAAAAAAAAACAACAGACAGAAAAACAATCAAAAAGCAGAATCATAGACAGTTGCCTATGATGAAAAGGATAAGTGTGTTTATTGCAGTAGCACTTGCACTGTGGGATTCAGCTTAAATGTAATTCACAATGTAATGTACTGTATAGTTGACATAGGCTGGTTTCTGGTTTTAGCGACACTGCACCTTTTTCATTTGGTTTTTAGGCACATTGCAATGGCTAAAATTATACATATGGATTCATATATTCACTGACTGGCCAGAAATGTGCCCAGGATATAAGCACTCTGTTACTTTTACATTGGAGCCAAAAAAAATAAAAAATAAAATTAAAGACCATTTTTTTAAACTTTCACTAGTACATACATCCCACGTTCCATGTGCCAAAGTCAAATGCATTACTTTGCCATTATTGTATTGCTCATCAGGCAATTGTTAGCAGAAGCCGGTGCTACAAGAACAATCTGTTTGTCTATCAGGAGCCAAATGTTAAAACAAGCAGATTACGCATACAGTACAGTACTGGTGTGCTGCTAGAAGAAGTACGGATACTGTCAAATAAATAAAAAAAAAAAAAACATTTTTATTCAATGTTGCACAGTACACAAACATGCTATCTTTGCAATGAAACATACAGCTGTTCAATTCTCTTTAAGTATCAATGATATCCAGGATATTTTGATGTAATGTGGCATAATTTATCACAATAACAATATCTTCACATGGCCTACTCTGACCTATTATAAAGCCAAAATACAGAGCAATGCTTTCTCATCCACTCCTGTGTGTGCACTCTTGATAACCAACAATTAACTCTTATCATTAAAACATGATGCTGGGCCATTACAGCCCAGAGCCCACAGTGGCTGGTGGACTCCAGTATGAAAGGACATGGAAAATCAGCTATTTGATTAGTCAAAACTGAGACAGAATTTGAGTGCTGTGGAGCTGATATCAACAAACTGTTTATGATAAGGTTATTTTTATACATTTTTAAGGTTATTTTATGTGTCATAAGTGACCTTTGTTGGTGTGCTGAAATGCTTGAATACTACAATTACTTGTTGCTATCTAATTACATATTGATCATGGGCTGTCCTAGACTGGACCAAACAACATTTCCAACAGAAGTAAGGTCCTAGCGGGGATGGATTCTGATGAAAGAAGCCCATTAAGCAAACACTGACTCTATAAACTGCACTAATATCTGAAATACAAGACCTGAGAGTGGCAGACTGAGATGTGAGCTCAAATTTTCACACCTACATGACATTCACCAATAAAGGCCTAATTCTCACAGAATACTGGCCCATGTGTTTTTTTAGTATGTTGCAAGAAAGATGCCATGACCTTGAACGTGATTCAAAAGACTTCAAGTTATTTCTTTCTTCTGTCTGAATACTCATGGGTCAAATTCTGAAGCTAAAAGATAAAGTTTAATTAATACAATTAACATGGTTATTGTTATACTATTACATGCCTTTGAGCCACTATAAATATTCAGTGGTAAAATAAAATGTGCACGTGAACTGTATTACAGCTATTACAGTTACAGTTAGCACATTTTAGTGTACGGTTTATATTTATATGCATATTATTTGCTTGGCATATTGGAAAAATTGAAATATAAAATATACCATAAATTTTGTTTAGGCCAAATTTTATATATTTTTATTTATGTTTTTATATATTTTTCCATTATGTTAAATTCAGCAAATAAACAGTACTCACTGTAGAGGATGACAAAAATTGACCAGGACAGTAGCAAGTTGCCCTTTTGTGCTAATTAAAAATTAGCTCACCTTCAACAGTCTAGGCCAGATGTATAACATTAAAAACAGCAGAGCTGGTCTGGGATCAGCAGTCCTACCTGTTCCACGCTATGCTGCTGTACACAGTTGTAGATGTAGCCGAGTCCAGCTCGGGTCAGCACGTAGGACGCCTGCTCGTTGATCAGAGTGTCCAAGTGAGCCTCAATCTAATACACAAAGTATTGAAACATCGAGAAAAACAAAAAACATTAAAATATTCTCTGCCACTTTCTTTCACTAGAAGAGCTGGAGTCGTTTCAGTTCCCGCCAGAACCTAAAAGGGGTTCATTACAACAGCTAACTCGATGGAAAGCAATATGACAGAGGCACATAGTGAAAGAGGGGTTGAGAAGGGCAGAATCTGATTTGCAAAGGGTTTGGTTTGTTACTGTAACTATGTATGAATAATATCTTTTTAAAGCGCCCATATCTTGAAAAACACATTTTAACTAGCCTGTGAACATAGTTAAAGCTTCAAAATGTAGTGTTCACTCCCCAGCCCATACAGTCCATACGTGGAAGTTAAGCTGCAAAAACAGCCTGTTTTAAATGTACTGTTTCTGTGATGTCTTTAGAGCCAACTCATTTACATACATCTTCTTATTCAGCTTACTGCTTTCTGAATGAGTCACAACACAGGACGGTCAACCAATTTCCATATTATTTACATCTATCAGTCTTAAAGGCACAGTAAAAAAAAGGAGGCTAGTCAAAATGGTAAAACTGATAAAAACGAAATACTATGAATTACTAATTTTTAGTACATAAAACTACACATAAGCGGGAACTTGGAGGAACAAATAAAGCATACAATAAATGTAGGATATGGGCCCTTTAAAAAGTCACAGTGGAATTAAAGACACATTTACCAAGACGCTTACATATATGGTTTACAAAGTTGTTTACATTTTTGTGTTAAAAGAAACACAGGTGATTCAATCAAAGTCTGACAGTTTAATATCTGTGCATATTAGTGCTTTTTAAAAAAGTTACAGTAAATTTTAATAACACTGCAAGGATACTGAAAGCTGTAAAAATCGAGATCACTAAAATCATAACAGGAACTTGCAAAAGCCATACTTTTGATACAGGATAGACAACCTTCTCTTCAAAATACAATGCTGACATGCTGTACCTGGAACTCAAGCATCTCCAGCCGTTTGTCCGTAAACTCAAACAAGGCCAAAGTAGTTTTCATCATGTAGAGAGAGTTCACCATGTATGTGGCCATGTCTGCAGTGCCCAAATTGCTGGCAGACACAGTGCAGAGCTGCAGCAGAGGGTCCAGGATGCACGACAACACCTGAACACAACACAGAAGACTAGTATTCGAGATGTGTGTGCTGTTTAATAAGCATTTATGAGTGTTCTCACCTTCACGAAAGTGCAGACACAGTAAAGTCCAAACAGTTACTTTTGCAATTTGCTCAAGCAGTTATAATTAGACAGAAAATGAGGAAAGAGCAGAAAAACTGGAGGAAAATTACACTAAGGTAAGTAGCCATGACGAGACAAAATAACTTTCAGTTCTTCTTTGGGTTGAGGGGATTTCTGGCTGCACTTATCTTTTCACCAAGTGAAACATTGGTTTAAAAAATGGCACACCGTCATGGTAAGTCCAAAACTTTCCACCTTTTGTATTTAACGCACGTTTGAATCTTGTTGCTTTGTGCAGCACCACCTCAATATACATTGGGAAACTTCTAGGAAACAGACATACTATGCACTTGAAAAGTGACATTCTTTATCAGTAATGATGAGTGTGCCACCTCCAGAGGCTGCAAGTCATACACAGTTCAACAAAAACCTCTATCATGTTTCATAAAATGAGCAAGCAAGCCTTGCATTGGCTGTCTAAGTCTTCTTTTCTCCACTCATTGACCTTTCTACAATGTGTTTACCGTAATCTCTTCTGTCTGTAAAACTTTGTTCCACCACTTTGCACTTTTTAGCCTATTGTAATCCGGCCTTCTGTTTTGGAGGATGATGAGAGGTTTATGTCTTTCAGTGCAGCCTTTATAATTCTGTTGTTGAAATCTTCTGTAAACAGTAGATTGTTCCTGTAATCTGGAGGTTGTTGGTGATTTCAGGGACAGCTGTTTCTAGAGTCTTACAACCTTAGTAGTTTTTCTATCCTCAGCTGCAGTGCTTTTCTTCAGTAGACCTGTTTGTCTGACTTTCTTTTTTTTTCTCAAGAGACTGCAAATCGTGGGTTTTCAAGGACACTGTATGGCAAGGAGGACACTGTATACTGGATATTTTGCAACATAATAGAGAAACAAGGCTTCACTAAACTACAGTACACTTTGAATAAAGACGCAAAACTGTAAAATACAGTATCTAGAATATCCTTTAGGTTTGGTATCCACAACACGTTCTTTACCTGAGCAAAGTCAGCCTGGCGGGCATCCAGGGGGAGAACAGAGGAGTCGTGGGAGGCGAGAACCTCTCTAAGGAGAGAAAGTGTCTGAGTGAGGGAGGCTGTGGGGCCCAAATCAGGAGGAGGCAGTTCCACCTATGTGAGAGAGAGAGAGAGAGAGAGAGAGAGAGAGAGAGAGAGAGAGAGAGAGAGAGAGAGAGAGAAAAAGAAAGAAAGAAAGAAAGAAAGAAAGAAAGAAAGAAAGAAAGAAAGAAAGAGAGAGAAAAGAAAGAAAAGAAAAGAAAAAAAAGAAAGCTAAAGAGAAACCAACTGAAAAGCCGGAAACAATACATGCATAATAGGCACACACTGCACTTTTTTACCCTAAGACCCACTTTGACATTTGTGTGGGTTTATGTACCAAAAAACAATCACAACTCATTTCTGATTACCATTTTCCAACCTCTCTCTATCCTTTACTATTAAACAGGCTGTTTCTGTTATTGAACCATGTTTTGCATGTAATTTGTGAATGACCTCTGTCCTGATTGGCTGCCCTATACTGTGTCTCATTCAACAGTCCACAGAAATGTACAGAACAAACTGTTTAGTGCAGACTGAGATGCTGGAAAGCCACTCCTGCTTGATGTCTGGGTCCTTTGGAAGGTTATGCAATAATATATATACTTCCCGACAGCCAGGAACAGCACAACAGTTAATCATCTTCACCCACATTTTCCACTCCAGTAGTGCTACAGACTGTCTGCAGAAACCACACTTCTTCAGTTCAATGGGAATGGGCAGATAAACTGCTGAAGGCTGAATGGGCAGTCATTTGTACACACAATCATGCCAGTGACATCACAACAATGATGAATTTGACATCTGCCAACATTATATACTATCAGGACACTAAATGGTAATGGTAACATGACACTATGTATATATATATAAAAATAATGTAACATTTATTAATTTATTGTGAACAAAACAGCAATTAGGACGTAGCTGGTAGGCTTATGTTTGCTTCCTGTTGTTCATTTCTTATGTGGTGTATTGATTATTTTCACTTAATTCCAAGTGATAACAGTGATTGGCAGAGGAGAACTGGTTTGTGCTTATTGACTAAATATGTAACATTCCACCAAACTGGTTTAAAGAAAACTGGTTGAAAACCTGTTTTTAACTTGCAACTGACCTGGACTTTAGACTAAAATCCTTTAAATGACCTCATGCCTTAATTATGTTTATTTTATTAAAATAAATAATTGAACATCTAATTTTGTCACTATACAACAATAACACTTGCAAAGGTAGTGATATGAAAATGTGGGACAGCATTTTTCAAGTTTTTTTTTTTATTTTACAAATTAAACTCATGATGAATTAAAATCCTTCAACTCCACTTTAAAAGAATCCAAAGAGATCTCTTAAAAATAGCATTTTCATTAGTTTAAATTTAGTTAGGATTTGGGACACTTCCCAATAGAAAGTACACTATAAATTATGATTTTGAATATATATTATGCTTATTACCATCACAATTAATATATAATCCTTGTCAATAATTAAAGTGAATACATAATTGTTTTTTATTTTATTTTTTTACTGTAGGTTCAGTAAAATGGTCTCATATATGAGTTTGTGGCAGATAAGCACTGTCTATATAGGTCTAGTCTTCCAACGTCTAAGTTAGTCACAGCAGGCTTTAATCAGAGAATTTCTTGGTCCTTAAGAAACAACTTTAAATATTAATAAAAACATGGTGTTGAAAAAATGTCAACTTCAAGTATGGTGTTTCATTTTTGTTGTTTTACTGATGACTAAAACCAGCAAGAACTCCCCCTTCTAAATGTTTACAGACACAAGCAAACAAGTTACTAGCATTCTTCAAGCCATATAACCAAAAGTAGGTCTATTTGATGACACCACCTACACATAATAATACCGGTAGCTTTGCAGGGTCCACCAGCCAGCCTGAAAAAACATTTAGGGGAAACACTGGCTATAGGAACTGTGGAGTAAACAGTAACAAGAACATGACTGACCTACCCAAGTACATAACTGTTTCATACTTCACTTCTGTGAACGTTGTATATGACTTTGCTTAATCGAGATTGATCTAATTTATCAACATTTCTATCCATCCAAGCAATTCTAAACTACAATATATTGAATAATACTCCACAAATTTCACAAAGCTGCACCTGCCCTCTTCACATGCTCAATAACCTGCCTACCATGTGTGACACTGCCTCTGATTCTTCTCACTGCTTACTAATAAATGCTCAGCTCTTCCTTCCATCCCTTCACGCTAGCAGACCGTAGTGCCCTGCAGCCTCTAATGGAGCTGATTAGCTCCGGCCAGCGTTCCTGGCACTGAGCATCGGCCACTGATACGTAACGTCCCTAAGCCTGTGCTGATTCGATTAACGTGCTGCTAAGGCGATAATTCCCTCTGAAGAGCAGAGAGCGAGACTGACTTGTTGTTCCAATCGATCCACCTGTCGATGAAACAGCCTTCCGAAGAAGTCCGGCCGTGTTCAAGGATATTTTGGCGGTAATTTAAGAGGCACCGGTGTGGGGCTGCTGTTTTGCAGCCCAGTGTGCTCGCCTACGCGGAGGCGTGTACCCCTGGTGTTTACAAGGTACAAGTCCTTCAGAGTTTGTTGACCTCAAGGATTTCACAATAGCAGAAAAGATAAAATATATAGGTTTTATGTAGCTCTGAGATCTGAGCATTACCTCGCTTCCCACTGAATTCTCAAGGTCTATGTAGAGTTGGTTATGAATCACACTATATGCACCTAATAAACTCTGACATATACTATAAATTTTGCAGATTTTTCATGATCTTTGATTTAAAGGGAAGGGGATACTCTGAAGAATTTTAAATATATAATTTTGTATAATTTAACATCTACTGCTTATTTACCTTGTCCATGAGTCTGCTAGCATGGAGGCTAAGGCTGTTGAAAAACATCTTCTTACTGAGGACATGCATCTCTTCAATAGTGATCAACAGAGACGCAACACTTGTGCCAATGATGCCACTATGAGAGAGATAGAGAAAGAGAAACATTAATAGTTTGACTTCATCATTTTAATGAGTCCCAACATTCACCCATCAGAGGGTAAGACAGTACCTGACTGTATGGTGGTAGAACTTTAGTAGGTTAGAGAGTTTGTAGAGCAGCACAGCGCCCGGTTCTGCTACTATAACCTGCTCGATCCGCACCTGAGTGACAAGCAGTCACAAAAAGCCAAGTGGATTATATGAATGTGAGACACAACCAATATAAGTATTAAACAGACACCTTATAGTTTATAATTAAATTATGGTCAAATACAGTATGTTTTGGTCTAATGAGCTTCACTAGATTTAGTACTGACAAAGTGAAAGTCTGAAAATGTGGCGGGACTGGGCCTTTTCATCTAACTTGGCTCATGCATCCCAGCCCCTTACCTTCAGTGGTCTGCAAACCCCTTCGGTTATGTGGCCAACAATTTCCTGCATGCTGTCGTCAACACCTGCACAGTCAAAAGCACACACCACACATCTCTTCAGTTTACAAACAAAAAAAAGGGGGGCCTCCTTACCTAGTGATGCTGCTGATGGCTAGTTTAGACTTTACATTTCATTTGGTATGAGTTTTTTGAGTTAGTTACAGCTGCAATGTGTCAGATTTTTTTAAAAAGTGTAAGAAGCATCATCACTGAGTCAGGAGAAAAATAACACACTAAAATAAGGTGTCCGTGCACTGCTCCGAGTCATCTGGTAAAGCCTAAAATAACTATTTGCATTTATTTGTTTTTTTTTAAACTGTGCATTTATTTGGTATTTTAAACTGTTCTCTGTCTACCACTTTTGGTCGGAGCAAAAAACGTCCAGATGCGGCTTTACATGCCCATTTACAACCCTGTGATTTGGCCCTGGAATGAAACAATGTTTTCCCGGTTTTGGTGGACTCAAAAATAATTTGATAAGCTCGGCTCTGTTCTGCTGGTTTACAGTGAGACACCATGATGGCTCACACAGACGCAAAATGTGAAAATAGACACAGATAGGAAAATAAAATGAACCGCCATGTAAATAAGCTAGGTCATCATACTACTTAGTTAGCTATGCACGTTACCTGGAGCTTGCTAGTAGCTAACGTTACCTATACTAGCTACTTTGTGTCGATCTCGACAACAACACAAAGTAATTTAAAGTTGTTTGCTCACTGTGAAACTTTCAATTTAAGATGATCTGACTTCAACTGTCAAAAAGTAGATGATATCACATGGCATGGCTAGGTATTTACAGGTTGCTGTAGGGGTTGTGATGCTAATAAAGTTGGAACTGCACCTCTCTTCAATCTCAAATACTGAGTGAAGCCTGCTTGATACTGTCCAAGGTTTGAGAAACTGTCTGGAGTGAAATGTGCAGAACAAACTAACAACTACGAATTAATGTTGTCTGGGACCCTGTTAAACATGTGAGAGATGAAGTCGGCTTCCTGTTTGCCAGCTTGTTGAAATAATTTTCTGTTCCACCTTAAATGGTGCAACAGTTACATTCTGGCGCCTGTATAACCTGTAGCATTTAAGGTGGAATGGAACATTTGGTTAAGAAGCTGGCAAATAAGAAGCCAACTTCAGCCTCGTTTAAAGATGAACTTCAAGACCGTTATGTAAGAGAGAGTTTGAAATTGGCCTGTTTTACCCTCTTTTTGCTTATGCAGGATTTGTGTTTGAAGGAAGAGACAAAATTGTTTGAGGTTTATGGTATGTCAGCTCCATTTACCAAACTCTCCTTATTCAACTATGCCAAAGTAAACACGGTTTTCCATTTTATGGCACCTTTAAATGCAAATTCTACATTATACTGATGAAAATATAATAACAATAGTATAATATAATTATTTACACATGAATCTTTGCAATTTATGAAGTCATTTTCAGCGCTACACACTTTCTAGACAGTCTCTCAGCAGCTGGCAGTAGCAGTGTTTGCAGTGCTACAGGTAGTAGAGCTGAGTGGAGCAGGGGCAGCGGCAGCGGAATATACCTTGCACTGTGACCTGTTTGAGGAGAGCCTCCAGATGCTCCTTCTCTGAGGCTGTAGCCTGGTGCAGCCATGCCAGCATGTCCCCCACATACCTAAGAGTTTGATACACAAATAAACAAAGACTGATCATTGCAGCATTGAAGTGACACAAATCTGTTTTTTGTGTCTTTGTTATCAAATCAAATTTAAAACACTTTCATTTGTTTGTCCTAGAACACTGCTGTATATGTATCTGATATGTACTGAGAATGGTCAGATCAAAATTTGGGATTTTTTGCCCCCCTACACTTCACTGCACATGTACATATCACTGTCGTCATTATTCACTGTTTGCCAGCATGTCAGCAGCAGTTAACAGTAGTGGCTAATCAGGAAAAATGTGCACATAGGGGTCCTTTCAGGTCACAGGTCTGTAGGAAAACCAGAGAAGAACAGGCTAACCTACAATGTCAGGCATGGTAAGGTGCTCGTGACAAAAACTATATATTTATTTTTTTTTTGAAATGGCAAAAAGTGTTACTCTCACACACACACACACACACACACACACACACACACACACACACATATATATATATATATATATATATATATACACACATATACATATATATACACACATATATACATATATATATATATATATATATATATATATATATATATATATATATATATATATATATATATATACACACACACACACACACACACACACATATAAAAAGCAGAAACTTCGAAATGGTTAGCTGCAGTGTAAAGCAAATCATTACTTGGCGACAATAATAAACATTCTTCTCAACCAATCAGATTGTGTTGTTGGATCTGCCTCTTGTATGAAAGAAGGCAGTGAACGGATTATGTGTCCTATAAACAGTTCACTGCAACTGCGACTGTATTCTCAAACACTGACAATGCCCATAAATCTGAACAAAACATGAACAGAATATTTTGTTACCGTGTTAAGAAGGCAGAGCTGGTTTGGCTATGAGTGTCTCAAATGCAACAACAGGATACTCATTACATAACATGGCCATCACAGCATGTCATCATTACATTACTGTTATATTCTTTATCAGAAAGCGGCAAAAGAGGTGAGAAGACAAGCGGTTCTGAGAAGTGCTCTTCCCGCCTTTTATCGACGTCCTGCGGAGAACCTGATGTTCTCTCCGCGGGTTTCCAGAGAAGGGTTGAAGACGTTAGAACAGAAACAGGACGTGGGGTCCTTGTAACATTCTGAAATCCATAGATCTCAATAGCCGCCCTTTCTCTGAACCCCCTACGCTAACTGATTCCCTGAAGAAGGCCTGAGGATTCTCTGAAAGAGAATCAGTTTGTTTTTAATGTATTTAGAGGGCAGAATTGGATTTGCAACTTTGGAGACACAGTTTAGACACATAAGAGAGGCAGAAAGCCAAAAAAAAAAGAAAAAAAAGAAAAAAAGGGGAATGTGTTGGTACAGAGATGAGTGCTGTGTGTGATGTAATGAGATATGGAGTGGCTTTTAGTGCTAAATGACAGCAAGACCCTCAAGATGACCTCCAATTAGCTGTGAAATGACTGTTTTATTTTTAGAGCTCAAAAAGCCACCCATTAGATTTTTGGAATTTTCAATGTGCTTTTCAAAACTCTAATCACAGGAAATGCAAGGATGGTTAGAAAGTGGATGTGCATGTTTAGTAGAGTAATTTACCTCATAGGGTCATGAGAATGCATCTCTATTGGTCTGGGGGTGCCCCCTGGACCCCCCCGCGTTAGTGCATCTATGAAGCCTCGGACCACCGCATTGCGCCTGGCTGTGCCAAATTCATCCAGTGTATATCTGACAACCATGAAAGCAGAGAAAGAGAGAGAGAGAGAGAGAGAGAGAGAGAGAGAGCGAGAGAGAGATGTAAAATGTTTTATGTAATGTTTGATTTTCACTGTTACTTTTCAGTTCATTAACCCCTTTTTCACAGTGGCAACAAAATGCAATTTTCGATTTTGGAGGTCCTTCAGGTAAACTGTGCAATTTTTTTCTTCAACAATGTTGATGGAATATATTTGAATGATGGAAATGTGTACAATTTATTATTTTGTAGGTAAGTGAAGAAGTCAGCAAGTCATCAAGTCATCACTAACGGAAACAAAACCTTGTATCTCTATTTTTTCGTGTGTGTGGGGTTTTTTTTTTCCAAAACCTGAAAATACCAGCTGTTGCATAAACAGTGTTAAATTTTCATCATGAATGAAGCAAAATGACTGTTTTTACATTTTTGAACTTCCATTCAAAATTAATAACATTTTTTGTCTCCTGTAAATTACCATATTGGAGATACATTATATGGAAAAGTATTGGGACACCTACACATCACACCTACAGGAGCTTTAATGAAAACCCATTCTAAATCCATAGGCAATAATATGGAATTGGTTCCCCCTTTGCAGCTGAAACAGCTTCCACTCTTCTAGGAAGCTTTTCTACAAGTTTTCGAAGTGTGTCTGTGGGAATTTTTGCCCATTCATCCAGAAGAGCGTTTGTGAGGTCAGACATTGATGTTGGACGAGAAGGCCTGCCTCACAATATCCGTTCTAGTTCATCCCAAACGTGGTTGACGGGGTTGAGGTCAGGGCTCTGTGCAGGCCAGTCAAGTTCTTTCACACCAAACTTACTCAGCCATGCCGTTACGGACCTTGCTTTGTGCACTGAGGCACAGTCATGCTGGAACAGAAAAAAAAGGGCCTTCCTCAAACCGTTCCCACAAAGGCAGAAGCACACAAATACCCAAAATGTCTTGGTATGCTGAAGCATTAAGATATCCCTTCACTGGAACTAAGCAGCCTAGGCATAGCATTATCCCTCCTCCACCAAACTTTATAGTTGGCACAATGCAGTCAGGCAGGTATCGTTCTCCTGGCATTTGCGCGTGATTCATCACTGCTCCAGAGTTTAGTGGCGGCGTGCTTTACAGCACTCCGTCCAACGCTTGGCACTGTGCTTGGTGATGTAAGGCTTGCAAGCAGTTACTTGGCAATGGAAACCCATGCCATGAAGCTCTTGGCACACAGTTTTTGTGCTATGTTAATGCCAGAGGAGGTTTAGAACTCTGCAGTTATTGAGTCAGCAGAGTGTTGGCACCTATATGTATATAGGCCACAGCACTCGGCAACCCTCTCTATAACATTATGTGATCAAGTTGCTAGTTGCAATTTGGTTCCTAAATGCATTAACTTTTCAATTATACCACTCACAGTTGATCATGGACTATTCAGGAGGGAAGAAATTTTGCAAACTGACTTGTGGCAGTGGCATCATATTACATCATGCTCAAATTCAGTGAGCTCTTTTGAACGACCCATTCTTTTACAAATGTTAGTAAGGACAGACGGCATGGCTAGGCAATACACCTGTGGCAATGAAACACCTGAATTCAATGGTTAAGAGGTGTGTCCCAATACTTTTTTTCAGTTTTTATTCTGAAAGCGATGACATAAGCACAAGTGTTTTTATTGTGTTTAAATGCTAATTATTTTTATTGTGGCAGTGGTACATGATTTTTGATATCAAGAAAGCTGACGTTGTGCTGTCCATTTTATATCAGCATGACCGTCTTTGTTGAGAGATGTGAATTATTTTCACAGCAAGAGTCCTCATTCCTCTCTTTTCACCCCTCAATGCTCGCTAGCAGCTCAAAATAGTCACAACATTTAACACAAAGAGAGCTAACAGTGTCCTAGTTAATCTGACAATGGAACAAATGTTTCATTTGATTATATTACTTTAAAGTATCCAAGTCTACTGCCATTCCACCAGCAAATTTGCCCATAAGAGGGCCTGCAAAAGTAAGTTTAAAAAAGGCGTTTGCTAATACTTTGAGTATATTTTGCAATACTTGACTTCAATGTAATCAAAGTATTGTCCTTGATATGAAGAGCAGGATTTGCCTAAACAAGTCCAATGATTTGGCAATTTTCTTTTCAATTTCCATTTTAAGTTACTGCCCACAGACCAGACAAACATGGTCATTTATTAAAAACATTTTGAAAAACCTGAAAAGTGTCACCTACAAAACAAATCTCTTCTGCCTGGACCCTAACCATGACCTCCAGAATCAGAGAGAGAAAATTGCTTGAGGTTAGCAAGTGCCTTGGTCACACAGGCAGACGAAAACAGTGGAGGCCCCCGGTGTAGCGCGGAAGCGGCAGTGTTTTGATCTATGGGCTAAGAATGAGCCAGAGCAGACTAAACAGTAGCCACTACAGCAGCCACAGAAAAAAGGGGTGGAGCAGATTGGCACAAGTCGCAGGAACACACTTTCGCTCTCTCTCTCTGTCTCTCTGCTCTGGCCTTGGACTCCCACATCCCTTCCCTCATCAGAGGCCATAGCACAGAATGTGGGAGAGAAACAAAATAGAGAAAACACTGATTTTATCTCTGTCTTTCTGCCAATGTTTACCTGAAGCATAACAATCACTCTTACAAACTGACACTTTGTATTCCTCTAAAATTTCTGATCATATTTTTTAGGAGATGACAAACTTTTCACAAAGTGGCTGCAACCTGAACCTCTGTGTTCCCAACAGATGGAGAACAAGTGCACATTCCACTGATGCTCAGACAGTTTCTCCAACTTATTCTGGGAGAAAATTAAAAATCAGAAATGACAGAGGGATATTCTCATGGCCTGTGCATGAGGGAAAAAGAAGAAACTCTCACCACAAGGCCAAGTTTACATTCTGTCTTTGGAAAGACTGAGATAGCAATCCGCTTACACAAAACATTAATGCTGGAAACAGCTCAGTTTTTACTGTTTCTAAGAAAAAGTGAAACCCGAAATCTAAATCTCTGACAAACTCCCACAAAAGCATGACACTGTAAACTGGAATGAAATGCATAAGATGAACAGAATTTTCCACCATAAAGCTGTGTTTTTCAGAAGCCCACAAACATGCAGCTGTCTTGTGTTAATGCTGCCTATATTTAAGACTCTTTACTGACATTTTAAATGTTAACATGAGATGAAGAATCAGACCCAAACTCTCATACTACTCCATTGATTAATGAGTAGTCTAGTAGGCTAGCAGGACTATTCAAACAACTAACTGACCTTCACATACTGATAAATTAAACAGGTAAAGTCAAATCAGTAATGCGACGTTTGTTACCTAATCTCTAATCCAACGTTCTAAAACCTGAACCTATTTCTAAATGAATCTGATTGACTTAAAGCCCAAAATCACAACATTACTCTACATTGTACAAAATGATCTTCTTCTTTTAGAAACTTTAGCAATGTTTCAGATATAATGATTTTTTCCCCTTTGTATTTTATAGTGCGTGGTTCCTTAAGTAAATATTCAAACACTTACTTTAATATAATGATTGTGTGCTTTGTATCAAAACGTTTGGAGGGTTTGTGTTTTAATAAAAACGCTGTTTAGTCTCAATAAAAAGGACGTTATTTACTTTGCATCGTAACATGCATTATATGGCCAAAATTATGTGGACATGACCACTAAACCAATGTGATTTAGTTGTACATCCCATTTTTAACCATGGATATTAATATGGAGTTGGCTCCACCTTTGCAGCTATAACAGCCTCTACTCCTCTGGGAAGGGCAAGATTTTGGAATGTGTGGACATTTCCACCAATTCAGTCAAAGTAGCATTTGTGAGATAAGGCACTTATGTTGGAAAAGGAGATTTTAACATGCTATGTGCTTCAGCACTTGTGGCCCTGCTCTGTAGGTTAGTGTGGTCTATTGCTTCGTGGCTGAGCTGTTTTTGCTCCTAGCACACATCCTTTTCACAATAATGGCACTCATAGTTGACTGGAGCAGATCTAGCAGGGCAGAAATTTAACAAACTAACATGTGGCAGAGGTGGCATCCTATGACAGTGCCACGTTTAAAGTCACTGAGCCCTTCCGTATGACCCATTCTACTGAAAGCGTTTGTCTATGGAGACTGCATGGCTATGTGCCTGATTTTATACCACTGTTAGCAATGGTTGTGGCTGAAACACCTGATAATAAGGAGGGGTTTCCGTAAACTTTTGGCCATATAGTGAATGCTAAGCATGTTGGCAAATTCTCACCGATTACAATCTGCATGAAATTAATCCATTAAAATGTTGCTTTAGCAAACCTAGCAATACTGCAGCAACTAGCAAGCAAAAAGTCTGACTCTGCTGTGTAAAAAATTCAAATAAACTATTCACGTGAACAACACGCAAATTCTCATAGGTCTGATTCACACATACTGCATCTGCGTGCCGTGAGCAACGCGGAAAGTCTTGTTTTTCATTTTGGAGCACGTGTTAAGTGGTCAGCGCTTTTACACAGGCTGCGTGTGCGAAGCGGCAGAGTCCCAGACGCCGCACTGAAGCATCACAATGTTTAGAGAACAGACCCAGGGCAGATTTTTTTCTGCACGCACTGTACTAAAGTATTCTTGCTGCAGCTGTTTTTAAGGTAATACTTTGTTATTTATGACCAAAAGATTTTACTAATTAATTAAAATCTCAGATTCAGTTCTTTTTATTTCACATTTACATTTTTACAATTGTTTTCACTTTGCAGCATATAGTTCTTATCATTCCACTGTCACTCAAAAATACTTTACATGGAATAGGAAGGTGCAGTCTGAATCAGAGGTGACACCATGTGGTGAGAATAAATTACTACAGTGGACATCACTAATGTCAGACAAAAGACTACGAATGGCATTGACAAATGGTTTCTATTGGAGGGCTGCATGCTCTCATTAACCAGAGGAATAAAATGTCTATTGTATTACAAGGCCAAAGCGTTTATGCGTGTGCGTGTGAGAGAAAGTGTACTCACTTATAAAGAACAGGACGGTCCTGCAAAGCCTCCATGGCTTGAGTCAGCACTGGAGGAACATCACACGTCTCCTGAGTCAACCCCCGGCACTCATCTACACGACAGAGAGAGAACGTGAAGGAGACAAAGAGACAGAAAGAGAAACAAGAAGAGAGAAAAAGTAGGAAGAATAGGGAACAAATTTCCTCTCAAAATCTTAAAAACCAGATAAAAACCAAACGACGCCCTTCTTTTTTGCTCTCTTTGGCTTTTAAAGACTATTTTAATTAGAACAGCAAAAGATCAGTTTATTCAGAATTTATTTATGAGTCACCACACTCCCTCACAACATCTGTGCCACTATTCCAGCAACATTTTGTGTTTTAATGTGCATGCGTGTGAACACACACTTACTCTGTGCCCAGCGGTAGAGTTGTTCATATGATGTCTCCTGCAACACTGCCATTTGCTCCATGATCTCCAGTCTACATTAAAACACCACCGAAGCACCTTGAAACACTTTTTGCTAACATATATATATATATATATATATATATATATATATACATACACACACACACACACATTTCTATCACATTCTACAGTGCAATACCACCCTTTCATTTAATTTCCAGTCAAAACGGCCATTAAGCACATGCTATTCATTTTCCAGCGTCAGAAAAAAGCAGAAAACACATACGTAACAGAAAATTACAAAGAAGCATCAACAGCTAAATACAAGATCAAAAATGTCAGTATTTACTGTGTTCACCCTGTGCCTTTATTACAACTTCCATTATTTTCTTTGTATCTTTTATTCATTCTTTGAATTCCAGTTTTGAAAACTCATGTTTTTTCATCATTTTCATTTGACTTTATCCTTGCTAATGAAAGCGGATTATCTTATATCGGAACTCCTCAAAAATACCACTGTTAGCCATTTTAGATGCACATGAAGAAATATGAAGGCAGCTGTGGTGACTAAGAGTAGTTGCTTGTATGCATGTTGGCATCTCTTTGAAGGGAAACATAATATCGGCGACACCTTTAGAAGCAGCTTTTGTTGGGGTGACATAGCTGTAACTTGTTGGTTTTAAAAAAGAAGGGAAAGTTAAGATAGGAGAAATAAAGTCTATTATTAAATAATGATAGACCAGATATTATGCTTTTGTGTAATTTTCTGTAAAATATACAATGTTTCCTGTTTTTTTTTCCAGACAGTGAAAAATAAATAACTTGCTTAATGGTTGTTTTAACTGGAAATTAAATGACCAAAAGGGTGGTCTCTGACTTCTGCACAGCACTGTATGGCCTTTATGTACCCTTTCATTAACTGTCATTTATATAATTCTGCTCTATATTTCAATATCTTTGTATGAAATAGTAACCAAGTCAAGCGTACAAGGTCAGAGAGACCTCTCCCTCTCTCCTCTCTCACCCTGCTGTTTGCTGGTTGGTCCTGAGCAAAACCTTGACGTCCTCATGTATGCTCTTCACCCGAGTCAGAGCTTTAAAGAAATCCTGCAGGTCAAAAAGATCCACAGAGAAAGGGTTACATTGACCCACCCAGCAACGCTTCTTTAGCCTGACTCCCCAAATAGATTTCTATTAACATCTTGTACTGTGGATGACAGTTCAGCCCATGTTTTGTGTAGAACACAGCACATGTTATTTATGGCAAAATGTAAAGCAACGTAAATTATATGTAAAGCAATGCTGATTGTTTTTTTGAAACCAAACCTCTGGAGCTCCTGAGCGGTGCTAAAAAGGTTGTTATTATCCTATTATCGGAACCAGCATTTGAATTCTGACAATGTTAAATCCATGCAACCAGTCTGGAGAACGTGAGACAGCACAAATGAACTTGCTGCCCTCTGGGTGACAAGAAGGGCTTAGAGCTGTGGTTAACGGATCATCTGCTGAAGATCTACCATCATGGAAGTTTCTTCTCCAATTAAAATTTCACACCAGACCCTTCTAATCAAGATCTTCTAAAGATAGTTAATCTATATATCAGGTCTCGTAGAAAGGGGCTGAAGCTGGGGGTTGGAATGCAGATCTTCTTCAGGAGGAGGGTTGGTGGACACTGGCTTCCATGTAGAGAGAGACAATAGCCAATTGTGGCCATCTGTTAGGTCATACTTACAGACCTGCAGAGTTAGACCTTAAAGGTTACCTCAGTTATTGGGCCGTCACGGGCACCGCGTAAAATAGCCATTTCTTCACTGGACAGTTGAAACTTTGACAGAAAAGCCTGGGCCACCTGCGCACGCACCTCCAGACGATGACTAAGCAGGAGAGAGGGAGAGAGAGAGAAAAAGAACGGTAAACATATAATTAAAGTGAATAACAGCTTACAGTGCCTGTGACCTTTTTCACATACAGAGCTTTACATTTTACTTAGTGTATTAAAGAGCCCACAGTCTACACTTTTTCTTGCATTCTTCTGTTTCCACTGAAGTCCACTTATAAGGTATATGTGGTTTTATGTACCAAAAATAGCTATAATTGATTTTTTTACATGACTATATTTATATTTCCAACCTCTCTTTGTTCCTTAGAATCGAACAGGCTGTTTTTGTTACTGTGCCTGACTGATATACGCAAATGTCCTCGTGATTGGCTGCACCGTATTGTGGCACATTCAAAAATTAGTCCAGTGAAACACTCCTTATAACTTCAGTGAGAATGGGCGGGGCTAAACTGCTGTACGCTGAATAGATGAATATATGTCAGGGGGTGCAATCTTATTCGCAAGGGGTCCTTGTAGCTGCAGGTTTTCATTCCAACAAAGCAGGAGCTCACATGATCAACTGTTTGAAGACTGAGACCAATTGATTTAACAAGTGGAATCAGATGAGCATCAGCTTGACTGGAATGAAAACCTGTAGTTACACTGGCTGTTTGCAGATTAGACAGGACATCCCTGATATTTGCTTATAGTATATTTTGATACTCCCCCCGTGTTTACAAACTACAAACTATTTTACTTCATTAAAAAAAGGAAATTCAGCTTTCCATGCTATGCACCCTTTAAATACATGGTTTGCTTGGAAATTGAAAGTTTTTTTTCCCCAACACTAGATGGCAGTGGTGACCTTAAAAAAAAAGTCAACCCTAGATGGCAGCAGTGACTGTCCACAAGAAAAAAAAACAAAAAAAAAGATTGTAATTATTCCTAACTTTCACTTGAAATTTCTGCAAGATCAAACTGCAAGAAAAGGGATGAGAGACTAGATGAGCGAATAAAGTAGCACAGAAATCTAGCTGTAGGCAATTTCTGGCTCCACTGTGAGGCCAGTACATCTGTGAGTATGAGCTGTCCTGCAGGAGAACAATAGTGGCTTTGACAAGCAACCTCCTCAGGGAGGTAACTCAGCACAGACTCATGGGAGAAAGACCTCTCCTCTTCAGCCTTCCTGCCTTTAGTCAGCTGCCTTATCTTCCCTCATAATGTACTACGGTCCTCATGATACTGCATCACATTGGAGAATTGTAATCTTAAGCCCAAAATAACCTAGAAAAAAAAATATTTCTTTCTGTGGGGTAGCAGAGTGTTGTTTATGTAAAAAATTGAATAGTCAAAACCTCTTTGAGAATATGGAATCAATTCTGATGATATTTTGGGCTATAAGCATTCTCCACCTTGGCCCCAACAGCAGCAAATCCTACATTTCCTCCTTCGCTGGCAGATGGTGCTTTCATTATTTGGAGCAATTTGGGTATTAAGACATTTAAAGATTTATATACTGAAAATACATTTGCCTCCTTTCAACAGCTAGTTGCTAAATTATTTCTCCCTCAAAACAATTTCTTCAGATATTTACAAATCTGCAGTTCTGCCAGAAACACATTTCCACAGTTTCCTAATCTACCCACTGATACTGCTTTGGACATATTCTTAACACCAGTAATTTCTACAAAGGGTTTAATTTCATATCTCTATGAACAGGTCCGTTCCTTAGAATTAGCTGCTCTTCATACTATTAAATCTCTCTGGGAAGTGGACCTAGGAGAGGACACTTCAGAAATACTTTGGGATGGTGTACTTGAGAAGGTCCAAAAAACTTCTATTTTTGCAAAGGATGATCTCATGCAATGTGAGATAATACATTAATTTAATTTCACTAAAGTCAGACTCTCCAATATCTACAACAATATAGAACCTATGCATGATAGATGTCACCAAGCTCAAGTGTCCCATGTGTATACATTTTGGTCCTGTCTCTCTTTGTATTCATACTGGACAGAAATATTCAAGTCGTTATATACAGACATAATAGAAAAAAATCCACTGTGCCCAATGCCACAATTGCCTTGTTTGGCGTGATTCCCCCATTAGTATCCCTTTCATCTTTGGTAGCTGATTTTGTACTTTTTGTATTTTTGTACTTTTGTCACTCTGCTTGCCAGGCGATTAATATTAATTAAATGGAAATCTCCCATACCTCCTTCTCACAACTCATGGATTAAAGAAGTCCTCTGTGTAGTGAAACTAGAGAAATTTAGATGCATAAAAAAATGTTTTCCTTACAGAAATTTCAGAAAGTCTGGGACTCCTTTTTTTCTGAATATGAAGAAAATTTGCCCTCCCAAGAACTTCCTTGATAAGCTAGTTATTGATCGCTCTCTCATATATAGACACAGGTGTACTGTAATGTGTAAAGGCAGTACTTTAGACTTACTATTGTTGTAAAATATTGATTTATTTTATTTATTTATGTATTTATACACTTAGTCTTTTTCCTTTTTTGTGTTTGTATATATTCTTTTTTAAGCTTTTAATTTAATCTTGTGGTGGTATGTTTTTTGTCTGTTTATTCATTATTGTCTTTGTTACTGTGTTTTGTACCAACCTAAATTAGTTCACTTAAATCACTTTAAAGCTTGAAATCATAAAAACAGAAGAGTACTTCTTGGTGCAATACAGAACCATTTTCCAAATGGGTGTATTATATATATATATATATATATATATATATATATATATATATATATATATATATATATATATATATATATATATATATATATATATATAAAACCATACACAACACATTGTCCATCAATCTGAACAACCAATTCATTGTGCAAAGATTAATTTAACCATGAAATCGTTCTATAATAACTTAATAGTTACCATTACCTTTTCTATTTAGGACCTTTGAACCATCCTTCAGAGTGTGGTTTAGAACACTATAGAAAATAGGAGGGCGTGATTTGATGGCATCTCTGTGGAGCTTATGCTTCAGTCACGTGGAAGTGAAAAAACAGGTTTGTGTTCTGATGGGCGTAAGATGCACAGCCGGTGAAACATTCATTATAACAGAAGCGTATCTGTTCCATCAGACAAATAATTAAATAATAATAATAATACAAAAAAAAAAAAAAGTTCAAATATTGTTTTTTATGGCTAAGTATGAGAGTATATTGCTTTTTGGTACAAAAGCTAACTAACGTAATCAAGCCCATATTTCACATGTCATTAGGCAGCACAGCTCAGTTAGCCTGCGGCAGATCCTCTCGTGCTTCTCACTCCTGCTAGATTTAACCCCCAAGTCTCATTCTAATTCTCCACACTGCCTTGTGCCTGATGACTAGCCATGACACTCTGAGCCTCTACGGTTTCATACAGGTGACGAAGAGATGTGTTTAGTCATGCACACTTTTTTGAGAAACACATCCTTCGTTTCCTGTGCGAAGAGGAGCGTATGACATCCTTTCCTCGCCTGAGGCCAGATGCTAGGCATTCCTAAACTTGTACAAGAAGGGGAAAAACCTCTGGGAGAACAAAAAAAAGGTTTTCGTATAAACAGGAACATGTATGTAGGGTGCCATATAGCTTTGACTATCTAATAGCAAAGGCTTACTACACCAACTGTGTGTGGTGAGGAAGTAGTCATAAATGTCACCCAGTGATGTAAATCATAATGTAAATGACATGCTTGGGTGGAACAGCACCTCCCTGGAGCTTACAAGGTAAAGGTCATTCCAGCAATGTGATGGGTATATCAGCCCTAAGCAGACTCTAATTGAGCTAGCTAGGATTCATGCGCTGCCTAGCATCTAGACTGTTTAAAAGGCAGGCCTCAGCCAATGACAGGACAGAGAAAGCCACTTTTTTAGTCTGTGGCTCAGTTAAAACTTTGCCCAAGTTTGTATATTCGCTTTTGTTTTTCTGCTATTAAGGGGAAAATACAAGCATTTGGTCCTGAACTACAGTATAGATCAGTTCGCAAATGCAGGAACATTTCAATATGGTGAAGGCAGCATCTCTCTGAACATCAAGAACATGTATAAATAAGTGTAAAATATCACAAATCTTTGTATGATATCTTGGTCCTAATGATCTAATGAGCACACTTAACAGAGATGTTCACAATTGCTTCATGCGAGTCCAAGTCGAGTCCTGACTCTTTGAGGTGCGAGTTGGAGTTGAGTCTTAAATGGTTAGTAGAGAATTTTAGTCTTGTTATTGGCTGCATCTGTCAAGAATGACGTCTTTAAATAACGAGCCTTTCATTACAGAAAAAAACTTCAATCTGAAGAACAGAACTGAAGCACTACACGTACTAAACACAGTGCTTAAAATAAAAGGGTAAAACAATTTGAAATGATAAGTCTGTAAGTCAGTTAAGAGTCAAAGTCAAATTGTGAGTCAGTTAGGCATGAATCAAAGTTGAGTCACGAGTCAGGTCGACATGTGACTCGAGTCGCCATCTCTGATACAACACTCCCAGTCTGCAATGGCACTGAAGCAAAACTAAACATAACAGTGCAAGCAGGGAGAAATGAGTGAAACGGGCTCTACATATACAGGTGGTGATGTAGACCCTGCTGGGAATGCTGGGGGAAAGCTGCCGTGGGCAGGTGAGTAAATGGACAGACAGAGGTGGGCGATATGGCAAAAATATGATATCACAATACTTTCATGCATTTTCTTGATACACAATATGCTTCATGCCATTCCATTTGTCCAAGATCTAATTAATAAATAAATAACAACAATAAACTTACAACAATGATTTTTATTCAGCGTTTTACAAACTGCACTAAATCCAATTAAACAGGCCAAATTATGCCCACTTTGTAATGAAACATGTAGTTAGTCCGTGTTCTTTAAGTACTGACGAGTATTGTCGTATTATGACATAATTTATCACAATAACTGTAAAATATCATCATATTGCCCACCAGTACAGACGAATGAGCAAACTGACAGACAGGCAGATGAACGGACATGCATACAGACAGATACAAACAGCTAGCTTGATTATGCTAGGTTAGC